GGATATGTGGCTGATGTTGGGGAGACGGACCTCAGTGTGTTTTATATTGTCTGGTGTTAAGATGATAAATTACTTTGTGATTACAAGCAAATTTTCTATTTGACAAAGCCCTTGGTGGAGTCCAAATGATTTTTCTGTACCATATTGTTCTCTTACACATACGTATGTTAGGAAAATAGGCACACTTTCAAAGAGAAGCATAGGGGCTTTTACTGCCTTCGAAATCACTTTTAATAAGAGTTGTATGATAAATCATTAAAAATGCGAGTGTAAATATTTTTTTATGTCTACCAGGGTTTTTATTTGAAAGTGTGCTCTTACCATTTCCTTGTTTGAGTAAGAGAGTGAAATGGTTCTGAGTGTTCAGGAAGGATTTGCTTGCTTGCGGCAGAGGTTCTAGGAAAAGCAAGCGCCTCCCAAATATCTTGAGAACACTGGCAGCCTTATGGCCACTAAATCCACACTTTCTTTAAAGAGATGCAGATGAATTACTTTTCTGTTAATATATAGAAAAATACACATGAGAACATGCAGATACATGTAAATATCTACATACAGGGATATTCGTATGCGTGGTTGTGAAACCCATATACAAGTGGATTTGGCCATCTTTGGGCAGTGAGGTCAAATGTGAATATGTGTAAAAGTGCTTTTCAAAAGTGTGCATTACTATGAGAAAACATCAAAACTGCTGTAGTTTTCCATTTCTACTGTATTTCAGTTGCAACCTATTTTTAATAAACTTTGTATGTATTTAAGTGTATTTGCTATTGTTTTGAAAGTGCTGACAAAGTTTATATTTGTAACATCAGCCTTCCTCGCCCGTCTCTTTCCATCTTTCTATTCTTCATTAAACACTGAGTATGATTTCTGTGTCAGGCAGTGGTTTTCATTTGTGGGGATGTGTCATGTGCCTCGTCACACAGGTGTCTGTGAGTCTCATAAGCCGTTCCACTGCCCGGGCCTTCCTGATTCTTCCTTGATCCAGGCAAGCTCAGGTGGGCATTCAAGCCATTTCTCAGTGACACTGTCTCTTGGTGGCCTCTTTGAAATTCCTAAAATATCCCTAGTAATAAGTAAATGGTGTACATAAGGCATCCTGGTGATATGTGTCTTAGTGCAGGAACCCACTCAGGACAGCCTCGTGTAAAAGGGTATGTTTGATTGTAAAACTGCACAAGCCACATTATGAGGACCTGGGAGCTGCAGGAGGCATGTGCGGGCGGGACCTTCCATGTGGACGGGGCTCAGCGCTGCCTCTGCGCCATTGTTCCTCCTGCCTCTGCCTATTTCCAGTGTACCTTTTAATGGCCTATGAGCAGGAGGACGGGACAGGGCAGGGATGGAGAATTTTTAGGGCTTTCATGGGGGGAGAAAGGGATGGGGAGTTGTTGGTTGAAGGATACAAAGTTTCAGATGGGAGGAACAGGTTTTGAGATGCGTTTGCTGCACAGCAGGGTGACTGTAGTCCATATGTTGTGAAAATGAGGTTCATGAAGGAAGGCGTGTCTTAGGGTTGTAGAAAGTTGTGGAGACCTTTTTGATAGAACGAGATGTTTATGTATTGAAACTACAGTATTCACTTTTACTATATTTTAATGCCTAAAAAGATACTTTAATGTTTGAGAATACAAAAAATTAGGAAGTCTGAGTGTTAATACAGATTCCGTTTTCTTCCCAAGGCCTGTGTTTCTGTTGCTGTCAGTGGAAGTGATGGTACTGCCCTGCAGTGGTCTTCTGTCACACGGACCAGCAAGCACTTGATAATTTTCTGGTGTGCGCCGTTGGACACAATTTCCTTTACCCTTTATTGAATGGAAAACTGATTTCAAAGATTTAGTTATATTTAGTAAACATTAAGCAAAATTTAATTTGAATAACTTGCAGGAGGGAAAGGATGTACAAAAAGTGATAGTTTTATTATTTCCAGTATTTCATCCAGTTTATTCCAAAAATCACATAACCTCAAAAGAGACATGACTAGACTTGAGACTGGGAATTGAAGCCAGTTTCTTGTGTAATTCAGCAAGTGTCTATGGGAGCCTACGGATGCCTCCTCTGCCTCAGTGACTGGTCTCACAGCGCTTACCTGCCCTCCTGAAACAGTGCGGCTCTGCCCCCAGGGAGCATCACTCCAAGAGGCAGAAGCACATGTTTCATTTACATGTGCTGATCCATAGTAACTTAACTGTAAAGAAGTGCAGGGGACACCCGGAGGCCTAATAAAGTTCCTGTGGAGACAGTAGGCTGTTTTGAGAAAATGATGCTCTTAAGAAGCCTTGCAGATGGAAGAAGTCTGAGGCAGGCAAGCTAGAGCCTCTGGAAGATCGGGAGAGCCAGAGCCAGAGCCCCAGGACAGGAGGGTGCAGGCAGGGGCTGGAGAGAGCCAGGGGCCCCCTGGTGCTATCCAGTGGTAAAAGAGCATTTTCTAAGACCATGGCAAGAAGTGTGACTTGTCGTCTTCGCGCAGTGCAAAGCCTCTGCAGGGTTTCGAGGAGGGGCTGGGGCCACCCAGGTGACGTCAGTCGCTCTGGTTGCTGGCATGCGGGGGGAAGGAATGGAAGCCCGGAGCAGGCTTCTGCAGGAGTTGGAGGCTTTGAGGAACTAGATGGTGGTGTGGCCACCCAGATAGGGGAGCGTGGAGGCGTGGGCTGGGGTGGGCCCAGGTAAGCTCTAGAGTTGTTTGCATAGTTAGAGAGATGCCAAAGAACAGACTAGGAAAGAGCACAAAACTCAACTTGGCTGTCAAACAGAAGTTGGTCACCATGGCTTTCAGATTGAAAACTACCTTCACATGTCTTCAGTGGGTTAGATCTTATTTTTCTCTGTTCTTCTAAATCTTATGTTTTATTCTTTTATAGAGACTACAGACTTAAATGAATGTTAAATTGGAGACAGTGGTTCCAACTTTAACTTGGAACTTTTTAAAATGATTATAAAATATTAATCTAACTCTAAAGAGAGACCTGGGAAACTGTAGGTGAATTGTATGGCTTTAAAAATGTTCACCTTCCTCCTGTCAGTCTTTTTTGTATGAGAATAGATCCCAAAATATAAAAACAGCCTAGCTCAGTTGAGCAAAATACGTACCATGTTCTGAACAGGCGAAGCACAACTAGGGAGTCTCGGGACTTCGGGTTTGTCTGATTTCCATAACTGCCATTACCTAAATATTGGAAAATCACTGACGTCGATTCAGAGACTGTCCAGAGCCCTCTTAAGTCTTTGTGGACACAGAATGGCTTATTTAAATGAAGCAGCCTCTCCTTCCAATGACGTGAGGTGTTTATTTCTCTTTCTTTCTAGTTGCTTTATTATATGTCACCCATTGCAGACTAGGCACCCATAAATACTTGTTGGGTAAATTACACAAGAAATCGGCTTCTACTCTCAATCGGAAGTCTAGTATGTATCTTTTGCGGTTATGTGACTTTTTGGAATAAACTGGATGAAATCGTGGAATTAAAAATTCACTTTTTGCATATACTTTCCCTCCTGCAAGTCATCCAGTGTATGTCTTGCTTAGTGTTACTAAATATAACTTTCTGAAAGTAGCTTTCCATGCAAGAAAGCATGGAGGAGTGCTGTCTTCAGTAGAAGAATTGTTCAAAGACAGCTGGTTGCTGCAGTCTGCAAATGATTTGATCAGATCTCTCTCAAGAAGAATTCTTGTTGCAAGACAAGGAATTGGTGGAATACAAACAAAAATAGGAAATGAAGGAAGAGGAGAGTGCAAAGGCCGACTGGATTGCGAGGGCGTGCACGGGGAGTCTTGGTACCGCAACCAGTTCCATGTATTCAGAAGAGCAAGACGCAAGTGCCTTCCTGGGGGAAGTTGGCTCAGCCTCACATTCTAAGAGGCGTTTCTCAGGCAGCACTGGACATGGGCCGCCCTGAATATTCTTTGCTCCTGAGGACACCATTTGCGGGGCTGACTTGTGTACATACACGGGGCCTCTGGCTGTCTCTGGTAGAAGCAAATTTGTCACACTTCTTGGCAGGATTTCCAATGACTTGGGCAGAGCCAGTCATTAAAGTGGTAAAGCAGGTTGTATTCCAGAACTTGGTAATGGGGGAAGAAAACACCTCAGTTCAGAGCTGGACTCAACTCTGCATAGGGCAAGGGAAATGGAGTCGGCAGCCAAGGAGCAGGTTAGAGGTTGGTGGAAAGAGGGTCACTGAGAGGCCACAGCAGGGCTGGAGGGCACTCGGGCCAAACTGACCCATGGGGAGTCTTGCTAAAGTCGGGGCTGGGGAACCCAGCATCACCTGGGGGATGGCAGGGGACACGGAACTGATCAGATGTTGGACACAGGCGTGGGGGATTCTCATGGCGATGCAGACTTGAGGCTGAGCTGAAAAAGGGCGTGGAGAAGCCCAGGGTCTGGTCAGGGAGGGCGTCCTTGCCACTGGTGCCAGGAGAAGCGGGTGTCCATGTTCCTAACCAACTTGCCACACGGTTGCCGCGATCACGTCGCATACCGTGTCCTGTCACCTCTGCCGGGCTGTGAGCTGGGAAGCTGCGCAAGCCTTTCGCCACTGTCGTCCTGGCCTGTGTGCATGCCTAGCCAACCGCTGCTGTGTAGATAAGTTTGGAAACCAAGTCAGTGATACGGACGTGATGTATCACAAACACGCTGCAACAAGAGAGAGAGCCTCCATCCAGCACTGCCACCGACTCTCCGGGAGCCTTTGGCCACATTCTTTGGCCCAGAGCAGCTCAGTCCCCTCGAGACCTGACACCAGCCCCTCCAGAGACCGTCCGTTTTCTAGGAGTCACGTGAAAAAAGTAGAAGGAAGCATAATAAATTGTGATATATTTTATTTTGCCTAATATATCCCAACAGCATCATTTCAACATGCAATCTACACATAAAATGCATTCAGATTCTCTACATTCTTTTTCATGTACAGCCTTCAAAATACAGGGTGTATCACACCCACGAGACTTCCCCGACTGCTGTGTGCTAGTGCTGGATTGTGAGTGACCAGAGAAGCCTCTACATTAAAATATGGGGGCCATTCCCCCCGCAGTGTGCGGGGAGGAGGAGGCAGTGGGGGCCATTCCCCCCGCAGTGTGCGGGGAGGAGGAGGCAGTGGGGGCCATTCCCTCTGCAGTGTGCGGGAGGAGGAAGCAGGAAGCTGCTTGCCCCTCCTCTTCCAGGTTCAGGTCCTGCTTCCGGGACTCAGCCGCGCCTCTGGGAAGCGCCGGTCCAGGAACTCCGCAAGTTACAGGAGAACCAGGCGGGGCCGTGGTCCAGCGAGGCCTGGGATTCAGAAGGCATGAAACTTTCCTCAACGCTTGGACACCGGCCCCCTCCCCCGGGTCTTCCTGCTTCTTCCCGCTGCCCCTGGCTCCCGCCTCGAGCCACCCTCTCTCGCTCCCCAACGCCTGCACCTGCGCCGGTTACTGGGTGCGGTGAGAGGAGGCCAGAAGCAGAGGCGATGCCGGCCGGGGGCGGGCGGTGGGGGGGCTTCTGGGAGCAGCGGACCCGGCAGCTACAAAGCCAAGTGCGGGTGAGTCGGGGTAGGGGGAGGGAGGAGGGACCTCCCCCCTCAGAGGCTCCACGCTGAGGCCTGGGAGAATCGGGTGAGCTTGAGGTTTTCACTGGATGGTGGCCAGCTTTGGACACAGAGGCCCCACGTGATCTGTCCCCTCCCGTCTAGGCTTCCACGACCTAGGGGTGGTGGACCTGCTCTCTCCTCCCACCACTGACCTCCACCTGAGGCCCTGGACTTCCCTGTGGGACCTCCTCTCCCCTCCCACCTGGGGACCTCGTCCCCCGAGGGACCTCCCCCCCTCCCCCTCCCACCTGGGCCTCCTCTCCCCTCCCACCTGGGGCCTCCGTGACTTTTAAAACCGTCAGTTGTGTGCTGTGCACGTGCCGGGAGCACAGTAGTTAAGCCGGGACAGGTAAAGCTCTTCTAGTCACTGCCCTCTTGGAGTATACAGTTGAATCCGGGAAGTAGATCAATGAAATGATTGTAAAATACAGAACGCTGGGAAGTGGAGGTGCATGGTCTCACACGTGTTTATAATTCAGCCATCGCCTAATCTGAGAAATTAAGGATTTCTGCATCGTGCCCGTGCCCACTGAGCTGAGCTCTGCTGAGATGGGGAGTCCTCTGGCTAGAGGCTGAGGGCAGGAGCTCTGGGTGAGAGGCTGGGCCGGCAGTGCTCCCCATGGGTCAGTTTAGCCCGAGTGCCCTCCAGCCCTGCTGTGGCCTCTCAGTGACCCTCTTTCCACCAACCTCTAACCTGCTCCTTGGCTGCCGACTCCATTTCCCTTGCCGTATGCATAGTGAGCTGGGCAGGGGTCAGCGCCGGCTGGGGCAGCGCAGGAAGCAGCTGCTGCTTGAGACTGAGAGCACAGCAAGGGGCCGAGCTCCGCCTGGTCAGTCGGGACCAGTAAGGGATCTTCTTTCTTGAGGGCACGGAGACACCGTTGGAGGGATTGTGAGGAGGGTGGGAAGATGAGATTAAATTCCTATTCTGAAAATGTCACATTGTGGAGGGCACTGGTTCAAACGGAGTAATGGCCATGGAGGGAGAACACTGCCCGGGGACACCCCGGGGTGGCAGGGAGAGGAGCCCCGGAAACCTGAGCAAAACGTGCAAAATGGGGAAAACCACCCACTTTTTTAATGGAAGTTGTGCTAACAGCTGTCAACGAAAAGAGTCAAACTCTGTGAAATATTTGAAGAGATTTATTTGGAGCCAAATATGAGTGACCATGGCCCGTGACACGGCCCTCAGGAGGGCCTGAGAATTTGTGTGCGAGGTAGCCGGGGCCAGCTTGGTTTTACACAATTTAGAGAGGCAGGAGACATCAATCCAATACGTTTAAGAAATACATTGGTTCGGCCCAGACAGGCGGGACAACTCAAAGGGTAGGGGGAGGGCTTCCAGGCTCTAGGTTCATGTAAACATTTTCTGGTTGACAATTGGTTGAGTTTGTCTGAAGACCTGGGATCAATAGAAAGGAAATGTTCAGGTTAAGATAAAAGATAGTGAAGACCAAGGTTCTTTTGAAGTCTCATTATGGCTACCCTTAGAGTCAATAGGTGACAGATGTTTCCTATTTAGATTTTTAAAAGGTTCTAGACTCTTTAGTTCATCTCTTCAGGATTGGGAGGGCCTGGAAGAAAAAGATCTAACCTAACAGAGATTCTTTACAGATGTACATGTCCCCCAACAAAGGACAGCTTTGCAGGACCGTTTCAAAATATGGCAAAGAAGCATGCTTTTGGGGTAAAATATTTTGACTTTCTTCTTTGTCTCGTAATATTATGTCCGAGTCAGATTTGGAAAGTAAGTCACAATGTATAGGGCTAAATAAAACCCATCTGATGAGAATTTATGATTTGTAGGGCATGACTCCCCGGGCCCCTTAGATAGGAATTTGAAGTGCAAGAGTGGAAAAAAAAAAAAAATCAGAGCTTAGTCCTCACAGCATACATCAGATGACAAATATTTATTCAAGAAAGTCTGCTAAAACTCCATAAGAACAGTGATCATCTGTGGATTCCTTCTTCCCCGACTCCAGCTCGTCTTGACAGAGCCCGCCTCTTGGTGGTTGTGTCCGAGGGGACAGGACTCGCTCTCCCCTCAGCTCCCACCCGAGGGTCCCCTTATCTCACGAGGAGGGACAGATGCCAGCATTTCTCACCGCAGCACCCAGTTGAAGAAGCTAAATTCCTGGTGAGCATGGACAGCCCCCTTCTTCCAGCCAGTCTCTACTCATCAGATGGGGTTCTAGCCAAGAACAGCAGGCTAAGAAGGCTGGGATCCCATTGCTCTCCCCAGCTCCTCTGTAGGACACAGCTCTGTAAAAAGAAGCAAACTGAGAAGACCAGAGAGCAGGACAGTCCCCAGGGAAGAAAAGGTTGCTCTGAAGCTCTTCCCAAAGGAACTGGCTTTATTGGAAACAGCGAGTTCAAGCCTGAAGGCATGCTCTGAAAGGATTGTTCTCTTAATTAGGAGCAATGAATTGGCCTGTGAGAGCTGCCAGAACAAAGCACCACAGACTGGGGGCTTAAACAACAGAAATTTCTCCCTCACAGTTCTGAGGCCTGACGTCTGAGCTCAAGGCATTGGCAGCTTTGGTTGCCTCGGAGGCTTCTCTCCTTGGCTTGTGGATGGCCACCTTCTCACCGCGTCCTCACATGGTCTTTCTTCATCGTGTCTCTGTACGTGTCCAAATTTCCTCCTCTTGTAAGGACACCAGCCACATTGGAACACGGCCCACGCCCTCCTCTGGTAAGGACACCAGTCACGTTGGAACAGGGCCCACCCCCACCCCCATGGCCTCATTTTCACTTAGTCACCTCTTTAAAGATCCTATCTTCAAATAGAATCATATTCTAATACACTGGGGGTTGGGACTTCAACATTTGAATTTGGGGGTAGAGACAAAATTCAGCATATGATCAACAAGCTAATTCATAGCCCTACTAGGTTGCTAGAGAGAACCAAAGTGGTGACTAAGAAGAGCCCTTGGCCGGGCGTGGTGGCCCACGTCTGTAATCCCAGCACTTTGGGAGGCCAAGGTGGGCGGATCACGAGGTCAAGAGATTGAGGCCATCCTGGCCAACATGGTGAAACCCCATCCTACTAAAAATACAAAAATTAGTTGGGTGTGGTGGCGTGCACCTGTAGTCCCAGCTACTCGGGAGGCCGAGGCAGGAGAATCACTTGAACCCAGGAGGCAGAGGTTGCAGTGAGCTGAGATCGCGCCATTGCACTCCAGCCTGGTGACAGAGCAAGACGCCGTCTCAAAAAAAAAAAAAAAAAAAAAGGAAGAAGAAGAAGAGCCCACCTGGAGCTAACACAAACCTCAAAGACAGGCCTCAAAACACGACCACTGCTCCAGTAATATAATTGGACCAGACACTGAAGAAATGTATGCCCAGGTCATTACTGAAAATCATAGAGCAATCAGTTGGTAATTAATGGAGCTTAACAGGTAGATGTGATGCCGCATAAGGTAGATGACTTAACAGAGGGATCAGGGAAAGAGAGAGCCAATGTCCCCACCAAAACCACCACAACCCAGGGTGGCTGTGAGGATGCCCAAGGCTGAGTCCTCCAAGGAGCTACCCCAGAGGCCTCACACTGCAGGGGAAATAAGCTTCATTGAAATAGTCTAACCAAGAGACTCAACAGATAAGCAAAGAACAACAAAACCAAGCTGCAGGCGGGGAGGAGAGGAATCAGCATGTACAGTTTTCATACTATTACCTAAAACATCCAATTTTTCAATAAAAATAGACATGCAAAGACATTCAAAGAAACAGGAAAATGAGACATGAGGAAAACACAGGAAACAAAAGCTGCCTTGTGAGGGCCTAGATTTTCTTTTTTTTCAGTTTGACTCTGATTAGCAAGAGGGCCTAGATTTTGAGGAGACAAAGACTTCAAAGCAGCCATTATAGACATGTTCAAAAAACTAAACAACGCTGTGCTCATAGAAGTGAGGGAAACCATGGCAATGTCTCATCAAATAAAAAACAATGAAGAGATAGAAATTATTTTTTAATGATAATCCTGGAGCTGAAAATAACTGAAATGGAAAAAAAAAAATTCTGTCAGGGCTCAGGAGTAGATTTGAACTGAAAAGTCAGCAAACTTTAAGATAGATTGGTAGAAATCATGTTATCTTAAAAACAGAGATAATAGATTTAAAAAATGAACAGAACCTCAGAGAAAGATGTGAAACCTTTAAGCACCCCAGTATATGCATAATGAAAGCAAAAGAAGGAGAGAAGAGAGATAAAGGAGCAGGAAAATATTCAAAGAAATAATTGCTGTAAACTTCCCAAATTTGCTTAAAAATATGAATCTCTCAAGTTCAATGGATCCCAAAAGTAGGATAAATACAAAGAGATCCACACTCGCACACGTCATAGTACAAATGTTTGAAGCAAGATGCAAATCTTGAAAGCAGATTTGTTGTCGTGTACGTGAGAACCCAAAAGGACTAATGGCTGACTTCTCAGCAATGATGGAAGTCAGAGGGTGGTTGATACAGTTTGGCTGTTTCCCCACTCAGATCTCATCTTGGATTCCTATGTGTTGCGGGAGGGACCCGGTGGGAGGTAATTGAATCATGGGAGCAGATATCTTCCCCATGGTGTTCTCGTGATAGTGAATGAGTCTTACGAGATCTGATGGTTTTAAGAGGAGGATTTTCCCTGCACAAGCTCCTTCTCTCTCTCTCTCTCTCTCTGTCACCATATGAGGTGTGACTTTCCGCTTCTGCCATGGTTGTGAGGCCTCCCCAGCCACATGGAAATGTTAAGTCCAGTAAACCTCTTTCTTTGGCAATTTGCCCAGTCTTAGGTTTGTCTATATTCGCAGCATGAAAACAGACTCACGAGGCGGTGGAGTGACATGTTCAAAGTGCTGAAAGGAAAGAAAACCTGTCAATCAAGAGCCTTATATCTGGCAAAACTGTCTTTCAAACATTAAAGCAAAATAAAAGCACTATTAGAAAAAC